AATTCACACCAGAACACACACCGGAGAAAAACCTTTTGCCTGTTCACTTTGCGCTAAGACATTTTCTGCCAAGGAAAGCTTAACAAGACACACAAGAACGCACACTGGCGAGAGACCGTTTGCCTGCCCGGTTTGTGGGAAAAATTTCTCCCGAAAGGGCCACTTACGAGATCACTCGAAAACGCACACTGGGGTGAAGCCTTTTGTCTGCTCAGATTGTGGGAAGAAATTCTCCTCGAGGACACATTTAACAAGACACGCCAGACGACACACTGGAGAAAAACCTTTTGTCTGCTCGGATTGCGGGAAAAGGTTTTCGACCAAGGGAGAATTAACAGCTCACGCGAGGACACACAGTGGGGAAAAACCCTTTGCCTGTTCACTTTGTGACAAGAGGTTTTCGACAAACGACCATTTAAAAACGCACACCAGGACACACACCGGAGAAAAACCTTTTGCCTGCACGCTATGCGGTAAAGGCTTTAAGATCAAGAAAGAATTGAACATACACACGAGAACGCACACCGGGGAGAAACCATTTGCGTGTTCACTTTGTGGCTCCAGATTCAGACAAAAGGGACATTTGAAAGCACACAGAAGAACGCACACTGGAGAAAAACCTTTTGGCTGCGTAGGATGTGAAAAAAGATTCACCCAGAGGAAACTTTTAAAAGCACACGCAAGCGGGCACACTGGAGAAAATCCTTTTGCCTCCTCCGTTTTTGGTCCAACATTTTCTCCAAAGGAAGATTGAAGAAGGCACGCAAAGAAGAAACACTGGCCAAAAGCCTTTTTGCCCCCCACTTACGTTGTGGCCACCCCAAGCCGAGCTTACCAAAACACCTTAGCGTACACTGGAGACAATATGTTCAGTTGTGGAGCCTGTTCTAAGAGATTCAGATGAAGAGACACAAGCTTGTGAGTGCAAGTCACCGGCTCCTCCCCTCCTCCCTACGGAGGAACTCATTTCTCTGCGGTTGAAAAAAGAATGAAAAGATGGTGTTGTTCAAGTGATTTGTCTACTAGGGTGCAATCTTTTCCGCCATTTGTTCATACAATGCGTTTTGTATAGAACACATAACGAAATTATTGTTATTATTTTATTTTTTTATAAAATGAAATGAAATCCATTTATCAATGGCCAGAAAAAAAGTCCCAATTGGACGAGGTGGCTAAATAATTTATTTTCAAGGAATTCTGTGAAGCGAAAAGAATGACTTTAAACCAAACAAGCGCTTCAAGTAACATTTAGGAAGAGCAGAGTGAAAGCAGCGCCACTTTTGCGTCATGTTCGAAAGGCCCACCTTTGATTCAACTGTAATAACTCAGTCTGAACACTGGGGGGCACCGCATAAAGATGGACTTAACCAAGAAAAAGGAGCCACCACGGAAGAAATCTGCCTTCACGTTGAGGAGAGACTGTAGCGTTGTCTGCTGAGCTGTAAATCAATTGAATTAAAAAAGGAATACAAGAATGATTTTTGAGAAGAATTCACTGACCAAATCTGAATACCGACACGGTGAATGTGGCTCCTTGTAAAACTCTTTGCAGTGATGAATGGTGCAACGTAGCGTGCTGGTAATGTTTACGTTCTCTCTGTCCACGCTACCCTTGGGCCAAATTCTTCAGAACGCCGATGTTGGTTAACATGGCGTTGCAGATAACGCGCACTTACATTTAAAACTGGCGCTTAATGGCAACAGTTCAATTAAATACACGGATGAACCAAAATGTCCTTCAACACAACTCCAATAAAACTAAGGCAATTGCTTTTGGAAGTGCAGTAGCTAGCTAGCTAAAGCTAGCCATCAGTTGGGAAGGCATTGCTCGCGTATTCTGTCCGAATATGATTGCCGTAACTCGCGTTCAAAAATGGCCTACCTGCTGCGCATGCGCTTTGCTGATTGTGCGAGAGTAACGCAGATCGTGGCTCGGACAAGCGTTTCACTAAATCCTTATTCTGGAATGACTCCTGACCGGGCTAAATCTTTGACCTAGTACGCCTAAAACGACCGAATGCGACCTTTGTGTCCCTATAAAGTCGCCTGGCTGCACGTTGAAGCTACACTGGCAAACTTAGCTTTGCTTCGCTAACAGGCAGAAGCGTCTGTTAGCAACACGTCGCTCAGAAGAGATCAAGTGAATGTCAAGTCTTGTGATTGTCGCGGGAAATGTGTGCAAGAAAGACGACAGAGTACAAGGAGGAACTTTGTCAGTTGGAACCTCGAGTTGCCTTAAACGGAGCAGGTTTGTTTACTTCTCGTTCTCACTTGTTTCATGGCTACCTTCCGGCCTTCTTACCGTTTTACGTCACATGTACACAAACATTATTAACATCCAATGTCGGGTAAGAGGCGGATCTTCTTGGTTTCCCCTCATGATTATGTTTGAGACCTCGGACTCTGATGTTTCCCCTCTGTCCACTGTTTGACTTTTTTTTTCTTTTGAGGATCCAACAGCTTGTCATTCTGTTATCTTCAACGTTGCCAAAACTCTTTTTGTCTCTGTAGGTTCAGATTCCGTTTGTTGAAGACATTTCCCTTTGAATTGTGTAGGCTTGTTCTCTTCATGGCATTTGGTCTTCAACATTGCCAAACCTTTTTAGATTGAATAACACACAATATCAAAGTCACATTTTGTTTTCTCACTGAAGATCATCCAAGTTCCGAGGAGCAGCAGGAGCCGGAGTGCGTCCAAATGAAGGAGGAAGAGCAGGAGGAGGAAATCGGCAAGTTTCCATTGACTGGAGTCAGCGTGAAGAGTGAACTCGTCGATGCAGGATCCCAGGCGGACGGCCTCCTCCCGCCACTTTCAGACGGGGACGCCACAGCATCCCGCTCTTCTGACACTGGCAGTGACGACGATGACGACGAACACGCTCAAGGTGATTTAACACGTCACGCTGACAACAAACGAGTGGCGTGTTCCCAGTGCGACAAAACCTTTGTCAACAAGTCATCCTTGAAAAGACACACGAGGACTCATACTGGCGAAAAGCCTTTTGCCTGCTCGCTTTGTGGGAAAAGATTCTCCAGGAGGGAAATTGTAACGAGCCACACAAGAAAACACACTGGGGACAAACCTTTTGCCTGCTCGGAGTGTGAGAAAGTATTTTCGAGAAAGGGAGATTTGACAATTCACACCAGAACACACACCGGAGAAAAACCTTTTGCCTGTTCACTTTGCGCTAAGACATTTTCTGCCAAGGAAAGCTTAACAAGACACACAAGAACGCACACTGGCGAGAGACCGTTTGCCTGCCCGGTTTGTGGGAAAAATTTCTCCCGAAAGGGCCACTTACGAGATCACTCGAAAACGCACACTGGGGTGAAGCCTTTTGTCTGCTCAGATTGTGGGAAGAAATTCTCCTCGAGGACACATTTAACAAGACACGCCAGACGACACACTGGAGAAAAACCTTTTGTCTGCTCGGATTGCGGGAAAAGGTTTTCGACCAAGGGAGAATTAACAGCTCACGCGAGGACACACAGTGGGGAAAAACCCTTTGCCTGTTCACTTTGTGACAAGAGGTTTTCGACAAACGACCATTTAAAAACGCACACCAGGACACACACCGGAGAAAAACCTTTTGCCTGCACGCTATGCGGTAAAGGCTTTAAGATCAAGAAAGAATTGAACATACACACGAGAACGCACACCGGGGAGAAACCATTTGCGTGTTCACTTTGTGGCTCCAGATTCAGACAAAAGGGACATTTGAAAGCACACAGAAGAACGCACACTGGAGAAAAACCTTTTGGCTGCGTAGGATGTGAAAAAAGATTCACCCAGAGGAAACTTTTAAAAGCACACGCAAGCGGGCACACTGGAGAAAATCCTTTTGCCTCCTCCGTTTTTGGTCCAACATTTTCTCCAAAGGAAGATTGAAGAAGGCACGCAAAGAAGAAACACTGGCCAAAAGCCTTTTTGCCCCCCACTTACGTTGTGGCCACCCCAAGCCGAGCTTACCAAAACACCTTAGCGTACACTGGAGACAATATGTTCAGTTGTGGAGCCTGTTCTAAGAGATTCAGATGAAGAGACACAAGCTTGTGAGTGCAAGTCACCGGCTCCTCCCCTCCTCCCTACGGAGGAACTCATTTCTCTGCGGTTGAAAAAAGAATGAAAAGATGGTGTTGTTCAAGTGATTTGTCTACTAGGGTGCAATCTTTTCCGCCATTTGTTCATACAATGCGTTTTGTATAGAACACATAACGAAATTATTGTTATTATTTTATTTTTTTATAAAATGAAATGAAATCCATTTATCAATGGCCAGAAAAAAAGTCCCAATTGGACGAGGTGGCTAAATAATTTATTTTCAAGGAATTCTGTGAAGCGAAAAGAATGACTTTAAACCAAACAAGCGCTTCAAGTAACATTTAGGAAGAGCAGAGTGAAAGCAGCGCCACTTTTGCGTCATGTTCGAAAGGCCCACCTTTGATTCAACTGTAATAACTCAGTCTGAACACTGGGGGGCACCGCATAAAGATGGACTTAACCAAGAAAAAGGAGCCACCACGGAAGAAATCTGCCTTCACGTTGAGGAGAGACTGTAGCGTTGTCTGCTGAGCTGTAAATCAATTGAATTAAAAAAGGAATACAAGAATGATTTTTGAGAAGAATTCACTGACCAAATCTGAATACCGACACGGTGAATGTGGCTCCTTGTAAAACTCTTTGCAGTGATGAATGGTGCAACGTAGCGTGCTGGTAATGTTTACGTTCTCTCTGTCCACGCTACCCTTGGGCCAAATTCTTCAGAACGCCGATGTTGGTTAACATGGCGTTGCAGATAACGCGCACTTACATTTAAAACTGGCGCTTAATGGCAACAGTTCAATTAAATACACGGATGAACCAAAATGTCCTTCAACACAACTCCAATAAAACTAAGGCAATTGCTTTTGGAAGTGCAGTAGCTAGCTAGCTAAAGCTAGCCATCAGTTGGGAAGGCATTGCTCGCGTATTCTGTCCGAATATGATTGCCGTAGCTCGCGTTAAAAATTGCCCACCCTGCGCTTTGCTGATTGTGCGCGAGTAACGCAGATCGTGCCTCGGACTCGCGTTTCACGAAATCCTTATTCTGGAATGACTCCTGACCGGGCTAAATCTTTGACAAAGTACGCCTAAAACGACCGAATGCGACCTTCGTGTCCCTATAAAGTCGCCTGGCTGCACGTTGAAGCTACACTGGCAAACTTAGCTTTGCTTAGCTAACAGGCAGAAGCGTCTGTTAGCAACACGTCGCTCAGAAGAGATCAAGTGAATGTCAAGTCTTGTGATTGTCGCGGGAAATGTGTGCAAGAAAGACGACAGAGTACAAGGAGGAACTTTGTCAGTTGGAACCTCGAGTTGCCTTAAACGGAGCAGGTTTGTTTACTTCTCGTTCTCACTTGTTTCATGACTACCTTCCGGCCTTCTTACCGTTTTACGTCACATGTACACAAACATTATTAACATCCAATGTCGGGTAAGAGGCGGATCTTCTTGGTTTCCCCTCATGATTATGTTTGAGACCTCGGACTCTGATGTTTCCCCCCTCTACACTGTTTGACTTTTTTCTTCTTTTGAGGATCCAACAGCTTGTCATTCTTCTGTTATCTTCAACGTTGCCAAAATATTCAGAAACAATAATAGACAATGTCAAAGCCACAACGTGAGACTTGACTGAACAAAGGTTGACTCAAGCAATCTCTGTCTTCTGCAGACCTCAATGAAGAAGAGCACTCAAGGGGAACATTTAAATGCACACGCAAGCAGCAGGAGCCAGCGTATGGCCAAATTAAAGAGGAGGAGCAGGAGGAGGAGCGTGAGTGCCCTTACGTTAAAGAAGAAGAGCAGGAAGATGAAATCAGCAAGATTCCATTGACTGGAGTCATTGTGAAGAGTGACGAAGCTGATGGGGACCAGGATGGGCCATCCCAATCGGACAGCCTCTTAGCTCCACTTTCAGATGGTGATGACGTGACGTCACGCTCTTCTGACACTGGCGGTGACGACGACGATGATGATGAACACGTTACAGGTGATATGACACGTCATGCTGACAACAAACGAGTGAAATGTTCTCAGTGTGAAAAAACGTTTGTCAGCAAGTCATCCTTAACAATACACACAAGAACACACTCTGGAGAAAAACCTTTTGCCTGCTCCGCTTGTGGTAAAAGGTTCACTCATAAGGGACATTTAAAAATTCACACAAGAACTCACACTGGGGAAAAACCTTTTGTGTGCTCAGATTGCGGTAAAGCATTTTCTGTAAAGACCAGCTTAACACTGCACATTAGGACGCATACTGGCGAGAAACCTTTTGTCTGCTTGGCTTGTGGGAAAAGATTCATTGACAAAGGACATTTGACAGCGCACACAATAACGCACACCGGAGAAAAACCCTTTGCCTGCTCAGTATGTGGCAAAGGCTTTTCTGTCAAAGGAGAATTGAAAATCCACGCGAGAACGCACACTGGGGAAAAACCCTTTGCCTGCTCTGTATGCGGGATGAGATTCAGACAGAAGGCACAGTTAGAAGAACACACGAGAACACACACTGGAGAAAAACCTTTTGGCTGCTCAGTTTGCGGTATGAGATTCACTCAGAACTCCAAATTAACGAGGCACGCAAAAAGACACACTGGTGAGAAACCCTTCAGTTGCATAAGGTGCGAGAAAAGATTCTCTCGTAAGGACCAGGTGAAGATGCACAAGTGCGCTCGGGAGAGGAGCAGTGGTCAATGAAGCCGCAAAATAAATGGAAGCAACTGCAGCTGCGTTGAGAATCACTGACTGCTTCCCTTCTCACCTTTTGAGCAGGGGTCTCCCATCGCCGCCCGTGTCACTCAGGCAGTCTCCAGCCCCCGCCCCACCCCCAAAATCATGCGTTCCAAAAGCAGAAGACACGGATGTTATTGAAGCTCCATCAAAGTGAATATATTCATGGGCGGGTCTTGTGCTGCAAATTCGAGGTATCCCAAAAAAACAAGCTGTGGACTTTATTCGTGACGAAAGGCACTTTGGTGCAGAAAATCTCCAAAGAGGAGGAACGCATCGATACAAATCGATACAAATCGGCAAAGCATCGCTGACCTTCAACGATATTCCAGATGGTGGAATCTCAGCCTCTCTGGGCTTAAAGAATCACTTGAAGCCCTTTGTGACTTTCTTGGAGCATGAATAATCAAAGAGTCACCAAGAAGAAATGCGGCATCGTGTTGAGTTGATACTGCGACATTGTGTGCTGAGCTGCAAATCAAGTGGATGGGGAAAAAAGATGCCCAAGACTGATTCGTGAGAAAACGACACAGTTCAAACACGGTTCTCAAGTCTCGGAAGCCCATAGAGTGACCGTGGCCCATTGTGAATCCCTGTGCGGTGATCGGTGGTGCAACCTAGCTATCTGCTAATGCTAATGTGCTGTCCAAATATGCGACCATGGGGCCCCATTCTTCAGAACTTTAAAGTGGTAGCCAACCCAAAGATTTTCTTGACAATGTGTTCCGGGCACCTTCACTAGTATGTATTTATGCTGTGTGTGTGTGTGTGTGTGTGTGTGTGTGTGTGTGTGTGTGTGTGTGTGTGTGTGTGTGTGTATGTGTATAAATATGTAGGAGTTTGATTCTGCATGTATACATTTTTCAGTATGAGAGTATGCAATCAAAATGACATGTATTTTAAGGCTTTAACCATGGGTGCCAATAATAATGGAGGGCGCTATCAGTAAAAAAGATGAACAACGATGTGAAAGTAATTGCATATGCCACAAGTGTTTCAATTATGCCCCCCCCCCCCCCCCCACCGCCCCCA